GGGAGGGGGAGGGAGTGCAGGGGCTTGTTGTCGCGGTCCGAACCCAATTGCACGCTGCTGACCATCGAGCATGCCTGATTCTCGCGTGTGTTGGGTGCTTGGGTGACCAGGTTGATCCCTCTGGTCTTGCCGGGGGGTGGGACTGGCCGCCTTCTGTTGGCATATTTTGGCATAATTTTCCGGAACTCATCAGTCTTCTCCCCGCTTCCGAAGCATAAACAAAAACAAAACAAAAAAATGGGAATCTGGGCTCTGATTTAAAAAGGAAAAAAATCTTGAGTTTTATTCTATGAGAAAATCACTACTAGAATCCAATTTCAAGCATCAAAAAGTGAGTTAGAACTTCTTTCCGTCATAAGACTCCATAAAATTTTCAATCTTTGGACACGTATTTTTTGAAATAGGAAAAACTGCACTATATGCACTTCGTCTTATTAGCCCCCAAATCATAATCTGCTAGGAAATGGGATCTTTTGAAATTGGTCATAGGGTTATGATCTATTTCTCCTGAAATCAAAATCTCACTGTCGACTGCGTATTTTAAGATGAGATCTTTTCGTTTTGCATGTGCTTTCCTTGAATATAAGTCTTGGACTTCAATTTCACGACGAGGGCAAACGACATCCACGATATATAAATAGGTGCTTTCAGGCTTTAACCGACCATTCGAGGAAATAATTGACTTTTATTGGTTTAAGTTAAAATATACCTAGGATATATCGGCGACACGCGTGTATCATCTCGTGGAAACGGTCGTAAAAATGTCCGTCGACTAATAAAATCCTGTCTGTGCCTGTGATTTTTACGGCCTCATGGGACTTTTTCAATGCTCCGCGTCGTCAGGGACGTGCATTTCTCTCCCTTGCGACGTCATCCCTTTTTCTTTTTCCTCGGTGACTTCCTCGTGGCACAGCCTACGAATGCGTAGCCATCAGAGACAAGAGACCATCCACTCGTATCTTGGCTATGATTTTATATTCGGGATTTCAACATTAAAACTGTTGACTTATACCTACATGGTTGATGTTTAACAGTTGGTGGCAGTTTCGTTTTGCAAACAAGCCAAAGTTTGGGAAATCTGTTTTGCTCATGACGTCACCCGAAGCTCATCATCCACCATGTAGGTAGGTCAACAGCCGAAAAAAGAGTGATGACTGTTGCTCCTTTATATTTGTCCTCAAGGAAGTGTTGAATCCCCGAAAGTAAAAGCTTCCACCTGCCGCCAAGACGCCGAAGGGTCTCTTGTCTCTGGTAGTCATAGAAGGGATTTTTATGCTTTGAGTTTGTAGATTAGCAAAAAATAATGACATCTGCTCCAATATCAAGTTTTTACGTCCATTAACAATGGTGATATCACTCAACGAATAACATCGCATGCGACGTCATCCACCACGCGATTATGCATTTCATGGTATAACTTCCATCGTTTCATCAGTCAGTGAGAGTTAGAGACACGCATTTGCCTTGGTTACTCAACGTGAGACACGGATGCGACCAAGGTGAAGGAGACCATGGGACGCACTACCCCGGTGGATGACGTCATTCACCGTATTTTTCGACGGGCGACATCTCCGTTAAAATTGGACGTAGAGACTTACCTATGCCAAATCTTTAAGCTTGTGAACCACTAAAACACAAACCAGAGCAACTAACCCATTCATTTTTATTCATTCACAATGGTAGAATGGAATCATTTTTTAGCTTCAGCATACGTGACTGCTCATATAGGAAAAGGAACTTTAAGTCGAGAAACAAACTCTGGTAAGGTATCATTTATTTGGAAGAGTTGAAAAAGCGGATTGCGTATTGCCAGCGGAAAACACCTCGACCACCATGTAAACTCTGTACGTAGAAACGCCAAAGAAGAGACAATATGCGTCCTAAAACGTCGAAAACTCCGTAAAAAACAAAGGTGGTAGGTGTTTCAACGTTTGTGGATGCATATTGGATTCTTGTCTCTTCTTCGTTGTTTTTTTCTTTCTTTCTTTCTTTCTTTCTTTTTCTTTTTACAGTGATTAACGGTTTACTGCAAACTTTTGAAAATTTTAGTATTTTTTGAGGATGTATGGAGAGACATAGGAAAATTATGAGGGAGACAAAATTGGCAGACTGACAGTATGGAGCACTGCTCATTGACAGACTGAAACTTCGAATCGCTATTTCTCAAAACGAATAATAAGTGGATTGCATTTCGCAAAAAGGAACCAGAAGCATTGCAATGATGCTACGATTGTGCAAATTCATCTTTTGCAGAAAATAACTGAAATCATGAAAAAATACGAAAGTTACTTGGTAATTGTTGTCTTAGATTCACAGTTTACAGCGAGTAAAATAGAAACTGTCAATGGATAATCAGTTTTTTTCCAAGACCAAAGAAGTTGCACAGTCTTAGCAACATTGCAATGCTCGTGTTTCCTTTTCCAAAATGCAATCCAATTGTGAGCTGCCCTTACTCAAATTTCAGAACTCTAATTTGATTTGACGTTTTTGGCAGTTTTCTTCATCTAAATTTTTGGTATATTACTAACCTACGTTGCGGTATTTTATAACTTTTTGAGCTTAAATGAGGATTATGATGTCCCTTTTGGCGTGGGCTGTCGCAAGTTTTTATATTTTTCTTGCGAGATGAAACTCAACTCGTTTTTTTGTATAACTCGAAGAATCAATAGGTATTAAAAATGTCGCGTTGCGTTGTATTCATCAATCGCTCAATTATCCATTCTATGTAGATACCCTCCATATCTTCTAGCACTTTGTTAGTTTTCTACTCTGCGTATTCAAAGCACGAAAAATATCCAAGAGATGTTTCTGTTTTCCTTCATACCCTCACCACACCCCCGCTCCACCTAAACTCAAACAACATTCCAAGATAGCCCGACGGGTAGTACATTTATTTAATCTTCCCATGCTTTACGAGGGAAACGTTTCGACGGGTCCAGGAAGCGATCCTCAGCGAGTGTAAAAAGATAAGTTGACATCATACTCGGAGAAAATCATATTCATTGTTTTTATTACCCATTAAACCCGCTTAAAAGCAATAGTTAAATAGAATAAATCGATCCAGCAAAAAAAAAAAAAAAAAAAAAAAAAAAAAAAAAAAAAAAAAAAACAGGAGACTCGATCTTTAGAAATTCGTCATTAATGATGCAGAAGGATAGATTTCAGATCGTGATTTTGCTAGTTTTGGGACTGATAACAGATTAAATTTAGAATGGAGCATCAAGAAGAACACACGATTGGTATACCAGGGAAAAGCTTAGTGGGGCAAATGAAATAACTGAACGACTAACAAGACGACGGTTCCAACGTTAAGACGTTCGAGAGCGTTCACCGTAGAAGAAATGAATGTTAGCGCTCATAAGACTGTGGGAATACTTAATATGTAGTGCGTCAAACACCGTCCCGTCGGCGATTGGCGACGGGAAAAAGAAAATATTACACTTCAAATTCACAAATTCTCTTAGGTTCACCAACAACGCATTGTACTTCAGATTTACAGTAGTTCGATCTAGCGCGGGGGAGGCGGGGGGGAGTTTCGATGTTAAAATGTAAAAGTTGTTTTGCGCGGACGGAAGAGAGCGCTGCAAGACGCTGTTGACCTAGACGTGGAGCGTAACCTAAGAAACATACATACATAAGGAATGGCTTGTCATCATAGAGTAAAATATAGGGGTCATGTAGTGAAGGGGTACTATGTACACAACAATTTTTTTAGATCTCCGACGACTAAAAATTTGAACGATGCTTGAAAGAGTCATTGAATAAAAGTACGTTGCAGAGTTTTAAAAAGTTAAGAAAGAGTTATAAAAGATATTAATTTCTCAAAGAAAAGCCTACAGGCATTACATAAAGTGGACAAAATAGGAGAGAAAAGGTAGAAATGGTACATAAATAAATTGAGAAACTAGGTATTGCCTCCCGCCACGAAAAATGGCGCCGGTCCCCCATGGAGCAGTGCGGGCCTTTACCAATGGATCCATTAGTAACATACCCGCTGCAAAACGACGGGAAAGAGCGCACACTACTAACGAGGTGAACGCTCAAAATACACGTATACGTACTGCTCGTTAAGTGTAACATAAAAATACGTCCTCGAATAGTTTTGCAACTTAAAAGGAAACTGAATCAGAACAAAGCCTGCCAATGAACATTAGACCATTCATCTCGATCTGTTGCCTACACGGCAAAATTGAAGGCGAACTTTAAATAAGCGCTAGCATTTGAGGTTCGGTGCATCGTTCATTGGTTCAATCGAAATTACAGCAAGATATAAATGTTAGGGTTTCAAAGAGTATTATTTTCACTTTATTTGCGCAATCTGACAGAGCCTCTATCTACGTGTATATGTATTGAAACTGCGGACTAACTTCTAGTGAAACCTACGAGCAGAAACACTCACCGTGCACTGGTTTATTAGTCCAATTATGTCCTTTAGGTTGCGAATAGGTTTTATCCAGAAAGGAGCAACAAAACTGCTATTTTGCGAATAGATAACTATTCGTGCTCTCCGGTGAGTTTGTTGCCTATGCGGGTAAATTGAAGGCAAACTACAAGAATACCTATCGAAAAATAGGCGAGATATCTGCTTTATTTGCGCTCCCCGGGAGATTTGTTGCCTAGTGCACTGAAACTGAGGGCAAACTTGAAGTGGATGAGATCACGATGACCAAAGTGAAAAACGTATCTCCATTTGCGACGTTACAGACTTCCTGGTATATTTTATTTTTTCATTGGTAAACTATAGTCACCGAAATTCTTTGACAACTTTCTTGATTTTTCTTCATTGTCAAGAGAATATTCTGTATACATTTCAAGCTATGTAGGTAACTTACCTTGCTCCAGAAAAAAAAAAAAAAAAAAAAAAAAAAAAAAAAAAANCCAGAAAAAAAAAAAAAAAATAATAAAAAAAAAAAATAAATAAAATAGGAGCGAAAATGTTGAAACGCAGCGATGTAGATACGTGGTTTCGCGCTTCAGCCATCGATTTACGAACAGAATGACACGCCATTTATTGGTTCAGACGAAGCATGCAACGGTAGAGTTGAACATTTTTTGAATAATTTCTTTCGCGTGCTACCGGCAGAAACTGAGAATACACGGAAAGAAATTGCTGAAGTGACATCCCGAATGTTAAAAATTGACGCGACAACTCTCGAATGTTGATATGAACGCTATGGTTGTTAATTTAACGAGCTAGGATGTTA